TCTTACTATCCCTTCCTCTCCAATCTCCTTTGCAAGGGCAGGTGGGAGAGAAAACGACAGGCCAGGTATAGGACAATGTGTCCTGACTGTAATGGTAATCACATAACTGAAGGATGCTGTGATGGTAAATGCGGACATTGGTCAGAAATTTGTTTTTAGCACCATGGCAACTTCAAATGGTCACTAAATGAGGCAGTCAGTTATTGTTCTCAGCATCCTTTACATTTCAAAACTGGGAGGAGGTGCAAAGAGTGACAAAGGAGATAGTCAGGGGATGGGAAACTGAGTTTTATCATGAGATACTAGCTTTGTTTAGTCTTCAGAAAATAAGTATCTTATGATGCAGAGAAACAGATTCTGGTTAAATGATAGAAAGGACATCATAAAGATGTAGGCAATTCAACCAATTTGGAGAAAAGACAGTAAAATTCCCTACCCTGAATGGAAGTGAAAGCCAGAGAGTCATCTGCCAAAGATATTTACTCTTGATTTCTTCATTAATCAGAAAGTTGGACTCAGTTTCTTAAATGGCTCCTCTCTATGATTCTATAACTGTTACCATACAAAGCTCAGTTTTTCAATCTTGCATCTCTGCTGCCATCTTGTGACACAATCAGCACCTGGTTATTCAACAATTTTCTTTGTTAAACTGGTCCTCCTTTTTCTGTAACCGGCTTCTGCCCTGTGTTCACAGTGATGTTGCCTCATTTGGGTAATGAAATGTTTGCAAGAAAACAACTAAGCTCAGAAAGAACAAGGACCGCTTGTTTTAACCCTGAGCTACAAATATTCTCCTTTATTGATTTAAAAAAAGTGTGTTAGAGAAAACTGAGCATCTCCCTTCAAAGTATCAAACCTGCCACATCCTTTGAAAGCTTGTCTTGCTGTGCTGAACCCTGTCCAGTAGTTTCCACGGTCCGTGTTCACACACAACTGCCTTGCTTCCCTGGTGGTTCCAGCAGAAGTGCAGAAGTTCAGGGGGTGTGCAGAAGACTCTGCAAAACCCACAACTGCTTTAAGGTTTCAAAGGAAAGTGTCAGGTGCAAAGAATCAGGGCTGTTCGTTAGACTGCAGCATAGAAGATTTATGCAATACATAAGAATCTACTCAACTAAAGTTCAGTGCTAAATTGGCACCAGATAAGGGTCAATTGAATTCAGGAGGGGTTGGACTTAAGACTACTTATGGGAACGTAATGACTCTAGGCTAATGACTCATTTAACTCCACCCTCCAGTTCTGCATGGTCTGCTCTTCCTTTGCAAAGCACATCTTTCTAAAGCTTTGCACAACCTTAGTACCAGACAGTGCTTGGGAGTTGATTTACATAGTTTTGCTTTGAAATGAGTTTCAGTTAAGGCTCCTTCCTTCCTTCCTTCCTTCCTTCCTTCCAATTTATTGGCTGCCTAGCTTATCATAGGATACGTCTAGATGGCTTACAATATTAAAAAGATAAAACTATACAAATAAAATACTTCAAAAACGCACTACACAACCTGAGCTGAAAGACGGGGAGGGAGGGAATAGGATAATCGGGGGGGGGGAGGTGGGATATGTTATTAATCTATCAACCACCCCCAATGTGAAGACCCCCCTTTGGAGCCCCAAGCCAACTGGCCGAGCCTAAGTAACTAAACACAGGATGATGGTCTTAGCAATCCTCCATCTATTCCCTTTTCTTCTGTCTCCTCAATTTTACAGGTTTGGTTTTTTTTGCATTGTTTCACACTCATACTTCTTCAGTGGTTTTTCTAGTTGTGCCCAAGCATAACATTTTTCCTGCTCACCTTGGGACTTTGTAAAGTTTCTTTTGCAATTTTTGCTATGGTTTCCACTGTTTTGTTTGGTGAAAGCACAGCCTTATTTCTGTCCATCTATCGGGCGACTAATTTCACAGGCATAAAGGGAATATCTTTTCCCAAAGAACTGTTGTATGTTTTGTGTGTTCTCTCCATCAGCCCCAAATTGTTTTCCTCTACGGAGTGACCAAGTAAATCTACAAAGAAGCACAATATTCCAGAAGCGTACCATAATCCCCACTCCTCAATGTGGCCCATCTATGTCCCAACAGAAAGAAAGGTAAAATCATAAAAAAAAATTCTCAGGTTGAACTCCATTCCTGGAAATTTTCTAGGGATAAGCATCAGATTTTACCTGACAAGAAAAGAAAGGATTAAAGAGAAAGCTTTAAAATTGGGGTCAATTGTGTCATTGGGCCCCAATTCTGTATTCTATCAATGTAGCGTTTCTTGGTTTTGCAAGATGTCTCTCCCTCTGAGGAATCCTTATGTCTTACAAGATCTGTCCTTTTTCTTGACTGTCATGTACTATAATGGTATGTGAGAATGACCTTGGCGGACAGATGTTAAAACATGTCTAAAATTGGCTTTATACCAAATACCACCCCAAAATCTGTTACAAGGAAGGATGATGTGGGTAGCTTTTTTTTATTTTTAATAAATCTCCAAGTATGGAGTGCTTCTAAATTATATATTCGTCCATCTTCAGAGGTTAGTACGTGCAGGGAAGAGACCAGGGGATTCTACAGCTTTTGACAAGGAGGTCAAAGAACCTTTTGAGTGACAGCAGTGCCAAAGCACTTCTGGATTACAGCCAATGAAATTTGACAGTGTCTCCAGTCACCAAGAGTTGAGCTCAAGTTGACAAGAGTCTTTATCTTTTTACAGTCAAAGCTCTAAGGAAGCACCTATTGGAGATAATCCCCTTATTAATGAAAGAAAACCTGACATTATATGCCCTTGGAAAATGTGTTCTAAAAGTTGATTCAGCTTTAAAGCAGTAGATGCCACTCTAGATCTTTCCATGCTAAGAAGAACACTCATTCATATTCTCTCTCTTCTCTATTTTCTCAAGATCTCGGAATGAACCACATGGAACAGAGAGACAAGGTGATGGTTCACTAGGGCTTTTATGTATTGATAAAGGAGATTATTTGTAGCTCGGGGTTGAACTGTGGGGTCCTGGATGCTCTCTGAGCTTGCTTGTTTTCTTGCAGATGTTGCATTACCCAAACTAGGTTGTTTTCTAGTTTGGAAACATCTGCAAAACAACCCCCAAGTCTTCATGTAGGCATGCTATGCCTGGGCCACAGTTTTGTTTGATGAACTGAATCCTCTTCATATTAAATTGGTCATTACCAATTGAATTGGTATCTCAGTGAGGAACTGCTAAATATATCAGGGATTAAAGCATACCGATAGAGCACCCAGTGTTTAGACTGAGCTTGGAAATACGCTAGTGGGGTGATCTACACCACTGTTGACCCAACCTGGAGAATTGAGTTGATTCCAAATTGCAATTCCTGTATCCTCTGAGTGGGTTTGCAAGGAAAATTTTGAAAAGTGCAGCAAACAAGAGATAGCTATGATATTGTCAAAATGCAGCACCACAAGTTACGTTCTCCACTTAGCAATTATCCAAAAGTTCAAACATTAGTTTGTCTCACAGTAAAACTGGAACGGAGTGCTAGAAGCTATTTCAGACTCTAAGTATGGAATTTAATGTATGTTAAATCAGTTAAATGCTCATTCCAAATGTAAAACAAGTCTAATTTTAAAATTTGGTAGCAATTTCCTTTGATGCCCTAATCAAGGAGAAACAGAAGTCATCAGAGTTTTGAGATAACTGCTAAGCAACTACAATTCCACCGTAATTCAGCACTCAGCATGAAAAATGCGAAGTCCTTTTGGCCCATGCCATACAATCCAATGTTGTTGTATTATTATTTTCCACTTCAATTGCAGAAAAAGACATTAGAAGCCAAGGAATGTAAACTACGTCTGAAAGTGTATTTTGCAAGAATGGTTCCAGGAAGAAACTCAGTTGAGTGGCTGGATGATTAACTGCACATCCAGCCTCTTGTGTCAGTGTTCACAAAGAAGCAGGTGCTTTATTCAGTAAATAGCAAGAAACTCATAATCCTGACTTTTCCTGCAAAAGAAAAGGGTTCAAGTAAAATAGAAGTCAGCCCTTCAAGGTATCTCCAGACAGGAAACCCAAATCACGAGTACTAACACCACCTTTATTATAAGGTTACAGTAACAGAATCTTGAACATCTGAAGGGGCTTCTCCCTCTCTTCCCTCTGCTTTTAGGTTCCCAAGATCAAGAGAAAGTCCCTTTTGAGATGCTTTGTCTACTCCCATTTTTTGGCTTTGGATTCAAAAGTTCTCCTATTTGACCATTTTCTAGGCTGCTGTTCTTTTTCCCACTCCCAAGGTTGGTGGGTTGGTTATTTATTTATTTCTTTGTTTGTTCATTTGATTTACATACCCACCACTTATTCTCACTGACTCTGGGAGGCTTACAAACAATTTTAAAAAATCCCAAATATAAAAGAATAAAAAACAGTAAAGCCCCCATTACCCCTGCTGAAAACAGACAAGCAAGCAAGCCACTTAATTCCATCCCACTCTGGATTCCCCACGTCTGTTTGGAGAACCGCGTCTTCAGGGCCTTGTGAAAGACCGTCAAAATGGGGGCCAATCTTATGTCCGCAGGGATGATGTTCCACAGTGAGGGAGCCACCACGGAGAAGGCTCTTCTTCTGGGTCCTGCCAGATGTATCCCATACATATCCCATTACGTCACAGGTGCAACTACAGAAAAGCGAAGGGGAGATTTGATAGAGCAGGGAATGAATCCCATTGGGAGAGGGAAAAGGCCAGCTTTGGATGCCATTTGCTTCCAGTTTCTTTCCACCTGGAGCAGCAAAAAAACTTTGCATTGTTGTATTTTTTCCCCCTTTTAACGGCCCTGTAATCCCTTGCATCAGGATGGATTCGGGGCGACTGAATGGCGCTTGAGAATTTACTGGCTGGATGTCCTTCCGGATGCCTACACAGAGTTCGCAACAATTACTTCTTCAGATAGAGAAACATCATCTGCTGCCTAGGATCGAACTCGCAGTCTCCTGAGTGTGAGGCGATAGCTCCGCCTCTGGGTCAACGCGCTGCTTGTTGCATTTTCTTATTTGAGGAGCTTCAAAAAAAACTCCAAGAAAATGTTGGGATGTACAAAATGACCATCACTGCCGCAAGGAAGACCAGGGCTGCGTTTCGGACGAAGTGTTTTTCTGAGGACCTGCGAAGCTTTTGGCCATGACCGTGGCTTTGGAACCACTCCACCACTTCGCACAGACTGTAATGCCCAGGTTCATAGCCCAGTTCCCTTCTAGCTTTGGCTAAGCTGAAAAAATGGGTCACACCAGTTTTGTAAACTTCGGTGCGAGTGAGGAGAGGCTGAAAGTTATACAGGCGTCCCAGCGCAAAATGGATCAGTTCTGTAACAAATGCAAAGAAGTAAACAAGGGACAGAGGGAGGCGGAGAGAAGGGTAGGTGTATCCTAAACCTTCCACCAAAGGGCGAAAGAATTCAAAATTATTGACTGGCTTCCCATCGGAAATGAAATAGGCTTGGCCAGCAGCGATGTGGTTTTTGGTGGCACCCAGAGCCTCTGCTGCTGAAATGTGAGCTTGCACCAGGTTATCTACATGCACAAAGTCCACCAGGCTGCTAGGATCCCCGTACACACACCGGAACCATCCCTGTTCCACGTAGTGGACAATCCTTGGAAGATGCCTCTGCTCTCCTGGCCCATAAATGCCAGCAGGTCTTATGGCACAGGTCCTCAAAATTCCCTGACCGTCCTTTAGGACTGTCCCATTGGCCTCCAGAACTTTCATTTCAGCCAAAGCTTTGGTCCTTGAGTAATGGTCAGGGTGAAGATGGAGGGGTAGATAAGGCCAAGATTCATCTCCGTTTTCTATAACCTGGCCCCCAAAGACTACATTGTATGTGCTTGTGTATACGAGTTTGGAGATGCCAACTTTCCTGCAAGTTTCAATGATGTTGTCGGTTCCTTTGACGTTCACCTCTTCTATACGTTTTGGGTTGAGCTGGTCCCGGCCAGACATTCCATAGGAGGCAATATGGAAGACACAAGACATACCCTGGAGTGCTTGTTCCACTTCATGGATCTCACACACGTCACCCTGCACAAATTTCACACCTTTGGGCATCTCTTGGGTAGGCTTGGAAACATCAAGCAGGATCACATCCACTTTGCTCTTGGCTAGGGCTGAACCCAGCCTGGAATACAACAAGAAATACAGGTTGAAACAGAAATTATAGAAAAAATGTATTTCATAATAGGAACGGTTTATGGCGAAAGCTTTAAGTCAGCTGAACCATTTATGTTAACTGTTTGTAATCCTCAAGGTGCTGAGGACAAGAATGAGGATTGCCAACTTTCAAGCAGCAGATCAATCAACTAAAGCTTCCATTGCTTAAGTGGGCAGGGCTGGCGTGTTATTCTGATAGGAAATAAAAATCAAAATTGTAGAGGTGGTTCTTGTTTATTCAGCTCCTTCACACAAAGATGGAGGCTCACACACATGGAGGGTAGCTTTTGTTGATTAAATTCCCTTTTTCTACTGCTTTCTTTTGAAGGGTAGACTCCTAAGAAACCATAGATAATGCAAAATAGTAGTAGTAGTAGTAGTAGTAGTAGTAGTAGTAATAGTAGTAGTAATAGGAGGAGGAGGAGGAGGAGGAGGAGGAGGAGGAGGAGAAGAAGAAGAAGAAGAAGAAGAAGAAGAAGAAGAAGAAGAAGAAGAAGAAGAAGAAGAAGAAGAAGAAGAAGAAGAAGAAGAAGAAGAAGAAGAAGAAGAAGAAGAAGTAATAGTAGTAGTAGTAGTAGTAGTCTATCACAGAACAAACAAGAGCTCTTACTCAAGGCACAAATGACCAGGCTGAAAGTCATCATAGTTTGGACACATGATGTGAAGACCCAGCCCCTTTAAGAAGTCCATGTGCTGGGACAGATGGAAGGAGAAAGAAGATGAACCAGTAGACAATGGACAAATTTGATCCCACTGGTCTGAGTAGCTGTTTCTCCAGAAATGGTCTGTCTATGTGGCTGTTGAGAGCTGATGGTAATGTGATGCTGCACAATCAATCTCATGCATATTTGTGTATATACAATACATGGATGGATGGATGGATGGATGGATGGATGATAGATAGATAGATAGGGAGGGAGGTAGATAGGTAGGTGGATATAGATAGATAGATAGATAGATAGATAGATAGATAGATAGATAGATAGATAGATAGATAGATAGATAGAGATAAGGTTCAAGATAGATATAGATAGATAGATGATAGATAGATAGATAGATAGATAGATAGATAGATAGATAGATAGATAGATAGATAGATAGATAGATAGATAGGTTTTTCAAAATTTGGAATGCTAACGAAGAATTAAGGGAGTACTGAGATAGCCATTTCTAACCTTATTTGGTTTTCATCAGTCAAACATACCCTTCCGAGATTCGAACCTGGGCTGTCTGCATGTTAAGCAGAAGCATTAGTCCCTTGTGCCACAGGCTCTTTCTCACTTTGTTAGCTACAAGAGATAGATAGATAAATAGATAGATAGATAGATAGATAGATAGATAGATAGATAGATAGATAGATAGATAGATAGTAGATAGATAGATAGACAGAGATAAGGGAGGGAGGTAGATAGGTAGGTAGATGAATAGAGATAGATAGATAGATAGATAGATAGATAGATAGATAGATAGATAGATAGATAGATAGATAGATAGATAGATAGACAGACAGATAGACAGATAGATAGATAGAGATAAGGTTCAAGACAGATATAGATAGATAGATGATAGATAGATAGATAGCAGATAGATAGATAGTAGATAGATAGATAGATAGATAGATAGTAGATAGATAGATAGACAGAGATAAGGTTCAAGATAGAGATAGATAGATAGATAGATAGATAGATAGATAGATAGATAGATAGATAGATAGATAGATAGATAGATAGATAGATAGATAGATGTATGTATGTTTGTGTGTGTATCAAACATGAGCCAATTTGGATGCATAAATGCAATTTTCCAAAGTCTGTAATTACTAAGGCTGCAATTTGTTCAAAAACAAACAAGCGCAATTCTTTGTTGAACAAATACTAACCGAAAACCAAAATATCCACTTCCACCTGTAATGAGGACAGCTTCCTTGCTGGGATTTTCTCTTTCCATGTCTTCTGGGGTTTTTTTCCCTCTCCCCACAAATCCTAAGCTGTAAATAAAGGAAAAGCACGATATAACCTTAGTGCGCACAACATGCAAGCCATACATTGTATTTTGTATTTATGTTTTTATTGCGCTCTTTGAATCCAAAGCCTTTTAGCCAGCAGTAAAAGGGCTCTGGTCTTAAAAACCTGCCTTCAGCCAACTTTTCCCAAACTGTAAGTGGGCTGGACTCCTATCAAGGGGGATCACAGTTACATGAAATCTCACCTGTTCAATGTTTACACCCGCCCCTCCCCAAGTGCATGAATCAATCTCTGGTGCTGTGGAGACTCTTCTGCATGTGCATCAAACATGCTTGTTTAATGATCCAAACTCTACTGCCCTTGGCCAAGCAATTCGCATTTCACAAAAACAGATGAGTGTCTAAAGTGAATTGGACCCCGGGAACATTGATTCCAATGGGACTTCCCTAAAGGGGAAGAGTAACTGTCCAGCTTTCTCCAGTTCAAAGGTGGATCTCCTCGTTTCTCCACCAGCAGGAGGGTTTGGGGATGATGGAAGCTGTAGTCCAGCCCCTTTGGAGACACTGATTTGGGGGGAAGGTGCCTCGGAGTGTTTGGAAATGACGCCAATCCTGAGACAGCCCTAGCTGGAGCCGAGTCCCAAACATCTGGAGAACATCAGGGTAACTTCTTCCTCCAGCCCAGTCAGCAGAGCCAGCCACAACTTGCTTACCTTTCGGACACTGGGGGGCGATGGGACCTGTGGTCCAAGTCCATCTGGAAGACGCCGGGGCTCTTACCTCCCCCAGGCTGCGGGTGATAGGCGTTGTAGTCGGCAGCCTTTGATGAAACGGGAGCGCAAGGCCTCCCTCGCTTCTCTTCGCTTTCCCACGGGCTGTCCCCGCCCCATCGCCCCATCATCGGCTGAGAGGCGGGTCCCGCCCCACATTACGCACCTCCAGTCACAGCCTGGACGCCCCGCTCCCCCTTTTGCAGGGCATCCAAAGCCCGCTCCTGCCTCCAGCGCAGCGAGTCTCGGGGTTAAAACCCCTCCGCGGGCGCTGAGCCATCGGAGGACTTCGCTCCGCGCACCCGACCCTCTCTCGCTTTCCGAGTAGGTTTTAGGACCTGGGGGGGGGGGAGTTCCGACATGGCGCCTTCCAGCCCAGCGCGTAGACCGGGAGCCGTACGGCCCAAGGGTTGCAAGCGGTGCCACGTTGGCTCCGCGCTCTTTTCGGAATAGAATAGAATAGAATAGAATAGAATAGAATAGAATAGAATAGAATAGAATAGAACAGAACAGAACGGAACAGAACGGAACGCAATGGAATAGAATAGAATAGAATAATAATGTAGAGTAGAATAGAATAGAATAGAATAGAATAGAATACTAATATAGAGTAGAATAGAATAGAATAGAAAAGAATAGAGTAGAGTAGAGTAGAATACTAATATAGAGTAGAATAGAATAGAAAAGAGTAGAGTAGAATAAAATAGAGTAGAATAGAATAGCAGTTGGAAGAGAATTTGAAAGACTAGACTAGACTATAGAACGGAACAGAGAACAGAACAGAACAGAACAGAATAATATTAGAGTTGGAAGGGACCTTGGAGGTCTTCTAGTCCAACCCCAGCTCAGGCAGGAAACCATTATACCATTTCGGACAAATGGCTGTCCAGTCTCTTCTTAAAAACTTCCAGTGTTGCAGCATTCACTGCTTCTGGAGGCAGGTTGTTCCACTGGTTAATTGTTCTGTCAGGAAATTTCTCCTTAGTTCTAAGATTGCTTCTCTCTTTGGTTAGTTTCCATCCATTGCTTCTTGTCCTGCCCTCAGACACTTTGGAGAATAGCTTGACCCCCCTCTTCTTTGGGGCAGCCCCAATCTTTAGTTGCAGTCCTAAAGATTGTCTTCCTCCCATCTCAGCCGGTTTTCAAAGGGGCTGGTTGCCTTTCCCACTCTCCCTCGACTTTTCCCCATATTTTTCGTGGGCCCCTAATTCTATCACTGGGCTTACATGTTGCCCTTAGCTGGGATTGGCTGAAATGTGGTTTATTGGATAGAAGGCTTGGCTTTGGACCAGTGGAGCTGTAAAATAAGGTTATAATAATAATAATCTAGTCCAACCCCCTGCTCAGGCAGGAAACCCTATACCATTTCAGACAAATGGCTGTCCAGTCTCTTCTTAAAAGCCTCCAGTGTTGGAACATTCACCGTTTCTGGATGCAGGTTGTTCCACTGGTTAATTGTTCTCACTGTCAGGAAGTTTCTCCTTAGTTCTAGGTTGCTTCTCTCCTTGCTTAGTTTCCATCCGTTGCTTCTTGTCCTGCCTTCTGGTGCTTTGGAGAATAGCTTGACTCCCTCTTCTTTGGGGCAGCCCCTGAGATACTGGAACACTGCTATCATGTCCCCCCTCGTCCTTCTCTTCGTTAGACTAGACATTCCCAATTCCAGCAACCATTCCTGGTATGTTTTAGCCTCCAGTCCCCTGATCATCTTTGTTGCTCTTCTCCGTACTCTTTCTAGAGTCTCAACATCTTTTTTACATCGTGGTGACCAAAACTGGATGCAGGATTCCAAGTGTGGCCTTACCAAGGCATTGTAAAGTGGTATTAACACTTCACGTGATCTTGATTCTATCCCTCTGTTAATGCAGCCTAGCACTATGGTGGCCTTTTTGGCAGCTGCAGCACACGGCTGGCTCATATTTAAATGATTGTCCACTAGGACTCCGAGGTCCCTCTCACAGTTACAACTATTGAGCAAGGTACCCCCTATACTATACTGTACATTTGGTTTTTCTTGCCTAAATGTAGAACCTTGCTTTTTTCACCACTGAATTTCATTTTGTTAGATAGCACCCAGTGTTCAAGTCTGTCCAGATCCTCCTGTATCCTAAGTCTGTCTTCTGGAGTGTTGGCTATTCCTGCCAGCTTGGTGTCATCTGCAAATTTGATGAGGCTTGCAAACCCCCCGTCTGAGTTTTTTACAGGAGGACTTTAACCAGGGTTCTCCAGAGTGGTGGATAACCCCCCCCCCAAAAAAAAGATTGATGGAACAAAATAAAGAATAACAGAATAACAGACTGGGAGGGACCTCGGAGGTCATCTAGTCCATCCCCCGGCTCAAGCAGGAGACCTGACACCAATCACTTGACAAGTTTAGCACCATGTAGAAAACTATTGAATTGCAAACACATTTGACGGGGGCAAGATAAGCCACCCTGAAATGTCTACGTTGTATCTTGAGGGCTTTAAAAATTTCCTGCCCCCACTCCTTATCCTGAACCTTCTGTTGATCCATCCTATCAGGGGACACACCATCTCTGACACCCAATTCGGGAACCGTGAAAGAAAAGAACCGCTTTTATTTCCCAGTTCCTTTCCTCCCCCCGCCAAACCCCTAACTTTGCAAATTCAATAAACTTGCTTAGCAGTAGATTGAGGTTTCCCAACCTCAGCAACTTTAAGACAGGGGGACTTCCAGCTCCCAAAATTCCCCGGCCAGCTTCTTCTATGGAAGAAACCATAGAACAGTGATGGCGAACCTTTTAGAGACCGAGTGCCCAAACTGCAACCCAAAACCCACTTATGTATTGTCAGGTGCCGGGTGGGTGTGGCCGATTGGCTGGGTGTGGCCCATTGGCTGGGCGTGGCTGCGGTGGTAACGGCAGACTGGGTGGGACTAAAAAGTTCAATCAATCAATTCCAACTTTGCAAGATCTTTTTTTTTCCCGCGAGAAGTTAAAATTGACTGATTGAACCTTTTTTTTTTTTTTGGCACACGGTGGCGGAGGCCTAAAGCGAAAAGGTTTTATAAAACCCAGCTGAAGGCCTAGGACTGGGGCGATGGTGCGCGTGCCTCTGGCACCCGTGTCATAGGTTCGCCACCACTGTCATAGAAGAATTCATGGGCCAAGAAGGAAGGTGATGCTATCTATCCCCTGTGCTGACATGACAGCAGCCTTCCAGTACTTAAGGGGTTGTCCCAAAGAAGAGGGAGTCAACCTGATCTCCAAAGCACCTGAGCGAAGGACAAAAAGATGGAAGCTTATCAAAAAGACAAATTCCAGCCTAGAATTAAGGAGAGATTTCCTGACTGTGAGAACAATTGATCAGCTTACCTCCAGAGGTTGTGGGTGCTCCATTCCTGGAGCTTTTCAAGGAGACTGCACAGCCATTTGTCCAGACTGGGTATAGACTGAGTCTCCTCCCGAACAGGGGGTTGGACTAGAAGACCTCCAACGTCTCTTTCAACCCTATTCCATTCTATGTTCTGTGTGTTTTTTCCCCCTGTATCTATTTGCGATAGGTGGCGATATTGCACCGAGTCCAACCTGCTTGTTGTTGTTTTTTTCTTTTTATGAGCAAACCAGAGAACAGTTTTTACTCAACCCTGACCAATTTTAGCTGGATTTCAACTCCTAGAATTGGCTGGAGAATTCTGGGAGTTGAAGTTCACCTATCTTAAATTCGCCAAGAATGAGAAATACTCCTCTAGAATTTTGACCCACGAGGGCCAGCCACCAAGGAATGAAGCAAATCTAGCTTTTAATTTGTGTTTTTAAAGTTACTGTCCTTTTGCAATAGTTTTGTTGGCGTTTTCAGGCTCCTACAAGGAATTATTTCCTGGTCTGGCATACTCATGCTGCCCCTCAAAGGGAAATAGGCCCTGTTTTCAAAGATATAAGGTGCCCTAAGCTTTGTTTTGAAACCTCATAATTACATGTTTTCCTTGTATCCGGAGAGCTTTCTTTCTTTCCCCATCCCAGACCACCCAGTCCTAAAATTTCCTGTTGATACATCTCATCAGGAGATACAGCACCTCAGCCATTCGGTTCTGGATCATGAAAAAAAGAACAGTTTTTATTTTCCAGTTCCTTTGAGCGGTGCATATTTGCACTGGTTTCCCAGAGAAAAACAGCAGGATTCGTAGACTTTCCTTACAGGTTAAGCAGATCAGCCCAGTTTTTTGTTTGTTCTTTTCTGTATTTTCCCCCCCCAAA